TTCTGCTCTGCATTTGGTGGGATCAGCAGGCGTAATTTATTATGAGCTGCTTAAACCTAATGAAACTATCACGGGAGCTCGCTATCGACTTCAGATGATGCGTTTGAGTCGAGCTCTAAAAGAAAAGCGGCCACTATACGGGCAGAGACACGACAAAGTCATTTTGTTACATGACAATGCTCGGCCACATGTGGCAAAACCAGTCAAAACTTACCTGGAAACGCTTCAATGGGAAGTTCTACCTCACCCGCCGTATTCACCGGACATAGCCCCCACGGATTACCACTTGTTTCGGTCGATGGCGCATGGTTTGAGCGAGCAGCGCTTCCATTCTTTCGAAGAACCGAAAAATGGGTCGATTCATGGATTGCGTCAAAAGATGAATCGTTTTTTCGACGGGGGATTCAATTACTGCCAGAAAGATGGGAGAAAGTGGTCTCTAATGATGGACAATACTTTGAGTAAAGTTATTGTAAGCCTTATATTTTAAATTAATGTTTTTTTTAACAAAAAAAACAGCGAGAACTTATTCAAGGTCCTAATATATAAATTATTGCCCTCAAATTTATAAAGAAAACGTGCAGTTCGAAATATTTCTCGATGAAGCTGGAACATTCGAACTAAGAAACGTTAGGGGCGCATCAAATTTAAAAAGGACTTCGTATTTAGTGACAGGAAAAAATAGACATTGAAATGTTCCCCGCCAGCATTTCGACGCCAGAATAGTGCTTGGTTTTTCTAAGAAAACGAGTTTTGTGAGTTTTAAGAAAAAGTTTGAAAGAAAACGAATTTACTATTTTGAGTAATGGGGCAGAAAAAACGGCAGGCTGCTGCAAAACATTTTCTGACCTGCATCTGTGAAGAGTTTTCTGACCTGCTGCGCTGAAGAATCCACAAGCTCCCCCGTATCCTTTGTCCTGGAATTGCAGGGTCGGATGCGTTCCACCAACGTCGCCCCTTATCCTTTATTTTTAATCCGCGTACACCAACCGCGCGGCATGTTGTTCTCTTTCGCAAACCTTCTCCTCTCCTCTCCCGGTTGGTCTCTTCCTCGTTATATAAGTCCAAGGACGAGCCGCGCTGCTACGCGACTCCTCCCTCCCCTTCACCCCCTTCCCCTCACTCTCGTTTCGTCCTTCTTCGATCTCCCTTTTCCTCTCTCGCTCGTTCCTGCTTCCTCTCGGTCGCAGCGCTGTCCTCCTGCACCATGCACCGCACCAGACGACGCCTTATACGTTGCTCCTGTTATTCGCCTAGCTTCCACCTCCTTTGCTTCGCCACAGTGTGTAGTTCAGGGTTTCCCAAAGCGAGCATCGTGATTTTTTGGGGGAAAAAAAAGAGAGAGCCAATATCAAACGAGAGATGCAAATCACGAAATTTCAAAGTGCAACAAAGTTTCTGCCGTCTTCGCAGGTTATTCTAGACTTCTCGGCTATATATAGGGTGTACCGGACGAATGGAGCCGTCTTCCATTTTCTCACGGGCTCGCGTATCTCGTGTACTACTTCAATTTCAGGTCAAACGAGGAGAACGATACTTCCGGCGATA